TAATATTACGTTTAGCTGTTTAGTCTCGATATGTCCGTATTATATACGTGAGCGCAAAGAATTTAACAGTGAAGATTTTTTTTGTAAGAGCACGCCACTTCAATATAACCGTTATGAAATCAACTCATTATCACCTGTGGGGACCGATTAGTGGCTTCAATATAATTGAAATTTCTATATATCCGATTTCAATATAACCATTATTTTAATGCAAAGGATATTAGAGGCAAAAACAGCGGATTTATTTCTCTATTTCAAAATAACTGAAATTTCAAAATAAGCGAGTTCAATATAAGTGGAGTAGGCTGTATAATGCTATGTTGCTGCAGATTTCGTAGTACTTGTAATTTCTGTATAATTTATAAATCACTTCTGACATGTAGATTTATTACTGAACCTGGCTGTTTTGTTTTTACTTTTGTTGTATTGATTCTACAGGAGGAGGGTTTCCTTGTGGAAGTCAGTATGCTGTTTGAAGATTTTGTTATACGGCCGTCTGATTATTTGATGGGAGTTTCATGCTGTGGCTTGGCACTTTATTTTACTTTTGTTCTATTGTTTCTGTAGGAGAAAGGTTTTCTTGTAGAGGTCAGTACCCTGTTTGATTTTGCGGGACAGATCGCCGCAGACAGGAGAGCCAACAGTGTAGATACCAGAAACATCAAACTCACCCATAACAGTGTAAGTATAACACTGGGTAAAAAAAGAAATGACATATAACAAACCTTTACAAAGGAACATCATTCTCACATATAGCAGCTTAAGATAAGTAGACTCGTGGACATTAATGGATACTCACATGTCATAACAGAGCAAAAGGCCTACAAGTATAATACTTGTTTTTAAAAAATCGAATATAACAAACCTTTATACAAGAAGCATCATTCTCACACATGGCAGTTTAAGGTCTTACGCAAGGAAATAGCCAATCAAAATGAATTAGTCAATTAAAGTTCCATAGATATAGAGACATTTTTTTTTTTCTTTTTTCATTTTTGGCATTTTGTTTAAGGCCTACAGTATTAAATTTGGACTTATGTACTAGGAATATCATAACTTTAGCAGAATTATCCCACTGAATTAAAAGGAACTTTTTTTTTCAGGTGTGCATGATGCAACTTCCTGGATGGTGTGTAGGCTGTGTGTCAACATGTGAATCTCACGTGCATTTCAGGGTAGGTAAGTTTACTGTCAATTTTCTTTCTTAAAAGCCGCATAAGGCAATATTTTTTTCTGATTTCAAATTTTTGTTTAAGCAATTAATCTTTATTTTCTTTTTCATGAATTTTCTGCTGAGAGTCTAATAAATTAAATAATTTAATTCAAGCTATATAGTAATATATAGTGAAATTATTTCCTTGTGTGAGACCTTAAGAGGGACAGGTAACTCTCATTTTCACTAAAATTTCTCTGATTTCAGGAGTTATCTCCCCTTGAAAAGATCAATAATGGCGGATAAACAATGCGCATGCAGTCTGGTCGTCAACGGACAGTTTTGACACCCGTATACCCATATTTCTACCAAATACCTCTGAAACCTTTGTTGTGTTCATCACACAGGTAAGAAAAACAAGATTTTTAATTCAAATAATTTAAATGAGCTAAATAATAAAGAATATATCATTTTTACATGTACAGACTCTCTTGTATAAAAAAAATGTCACATTACAATAATTCATTATTCACATGTCCACATTTTCCCCATTTACACAGTTGAAAATAATCAATGCATAATGTACCATAAAAACAATTATTACATGTAAGATAGGTCACAAAATATATTTTAGATACAAATTTTATACATTTGAAATTCATGTACATATCATCAATGCCCCCCCCCCCCCCTCTTCACAGTCTTACAACTTCCTTTTTAATTTTGGATCTGTCGATGATTTACTGTAAGTGTCTTTAGATTTTTTGTCATACAGCTGATATTTTTTAGATCTGTAGAATTTTCTTTGAGATTTATATTTTAACAGTTTTTGTTTCATTTTAATTTAAAGTAGTTTTGTCTATTTTGTTGTTGTTTTAGATGATGGACCACTCTACTTCATTTTACAACAGGTGCCCCTACAGATTCACAAAGTTCCAGTGTTGAGTTTCGATAACCCCTATTCAGTGAGTGTACAACTTTATGTATTCTACTTTCAAAATTTCTACTACTTATAATACATTTTGGATTTGATTTTAAATATGCCCTATTTACAGATTCAAATTTTTGTGTACAGGTATGATATTTGATTCTATCAAGATTACTTTGTCCTAAAGTCAAATTTATACAGTATTTTAACAAACATTTGTCTTTTTTTGTCATGTTTGATTCAAATTCACTAGGCAACGCTGAAGTTTTCCACTTACTTCTTTTCAGTCCACGACAGGAAAAGGAATAGAGTTGACAGGACTTCCCGCACTGTCCCTGGTAGCAGTTTATGAGGGAACCAACTGCAGTAGACATAGCACGCTTCATCAAAGGTAAGTCGCCGGAGTAGTGTTTGTAGCAATTCTCATACTCTGTCCTGCATCAAAGCTTCAGGTCCAAGGCAAATCTTCTCTGCATGGATTCTCTTATGGCCTTGGTTCTTCCTGGAAACATGTGACTGCTGAATGGAGCCTTAGCAGTCTGTTTTCTTTGAGAGTCAAAGAAGTGATGCATAAGTCCTTAAGGTTTTCAATCACATGTCCTTGTTTTTCAGATGCACCAGATGCAGCGGCACTGTCTCCATCACTGCTGAAATGGGATATTACTAGTGGCCGGTCATCACTCTGTAACTCACCAACACACTCTTCTCGTCTCCAATGGTGTTCTCCGGACGAATGGTTGCAGTGCAGTCTTCGTGTCCTGGACAGGTAACTTCCTTCCCTTTGCTTCGTAGGTGTGCGCCTTTCATACATTATTTATTCCCACAGAAAACTGCTACCACGTTCTTCCTCTGGGTTACATTTTTACTTACGGTATACGTCACTAGGATGACAGCTTGGAATGGGGTTTTCCCAATGGCACTGAAGGTGGCATTATTGTACCGAGCATCTCCCTCTGCTCTGATGGGGGTATCCGGAAGTTCACATTTTTCATTAAGTTCATGAATATTATGCCGAATTTTCTTCATACTGTTTTTATTTACATTTGGTAATAATTTTCCCCACTTTGTTGCAGGTCTGTTGCATGTTGGCGGCTGACGCTGGTTCAATATTTGCACCAAACAGCATACCACGCATACTTTCTGTTGTAAGACTGGTACCCAGGTGACCGACAGCCATGGCCACATTCAGCTGTGCAGCTCTTTGTCCCCTGCCAGATCTTCTTACCTCTTTGTAAAGCTTTCCTCGGTGACTGGTATAGTGGCACTAATCTTATATCGGATGGAAAGGATCCATGCCAGGCCTTGTTTTTCCTCCCCATGCTGATTCCAGTCCAGTGGACCATCACAGTCTGGAAACTTCTTTAATTATTCTTTAAATGCAATGTTCCACAATTTAGCAGTCTTTTCTTGGTGAAGTACTTTGTATAATTTTGAATTTGGGTCATCTGACACAGATTCCATGTCCACTGGCTGGACCTCACTTGGCCCGGGTCATAAAAACTTCATCTCGCTGCTTTGGCTCTCGGCATCTATAACTGCAAATGTTCCATTTTTCTGTGTCCGTACAATGTCCTGAAACTTCTCTTTACTTAGTCTTCTTATGGGAACTAGAAGTTTGACTGGGCTGGTGGTCCCTATTTTCTTCTGGCCTTTGTTGTGAGGAATACTTCCTTTTTTGTATTGATGTTGATGCAACCATTTTGGTCCTTTTTTTGGCATGATAATTATTTAACTGTATACTTGTAGACTTTTTCTAAGAATATGCTATTGTATGTGGTGCACATTTTTAAGTATTGTAAACTTTTGTGTTGTTTATTTATTTTAGAGCTGCCAGGACTTTTAAGAGAAACTCCATTCTTTGATGACTGGTGGAAAAGCCTCATCACCCCCCACTGCTTAAGAACCCCTTATCTTAATCACCAGCCATTAATCAGTGATCACTGTTATCAAAGCTCCAAGGTACATTATTGAAGTCTCTTTTGACACCATTTTTTCCAGTCTCGGACTTTGTTTTAGAATTAAGATTTTCACTTTTTTGCTATTAAATTAATTCCTTAAAAATCAGTTAACTTCCTGTTTCTTAGCTAATTAGAGCTCATTAATTAGAATTGAAATTATTTTTTAGCAGATAGCCAAAAACTACAATATTTCAGCTTCCATTTCATTCAATTTTTTTTTCTCAATTATTCACTCATTAATTTTTTTTTAAGTTTTGAAATCAATATACTATAGATGTATTTGTACAGAAAGTTTGCTTAAAATTCAGTAAACTGGTAGGAAGAGTTATCTCCTATTTTTCATCCCTTAAGGACAAAATATAATTTTTTTTGGACTAGCAATGAAAGATAAATAAATAATAGACATTTTCTGCAATTTTCATTTTATTTCATCAACTTTTAATCGTCTTAAAGGTCTTACACAAGGAAATAGCCAATCAAAATGAACTTTTTCAATTAAAGTTCATTAATAATTTTATATAGAGAAATTTTTTTTGCTTTTTTCGTTTTTGGCATTTTGTTTGAGGCCTACAGTATTAAATTTGGACTCATGTACTAGGAATATCATAACTTTAGCAGAATTATCCCACTGAATTAAAAGGAACTCTTTTTTCAGGTGTGCATGATGCAACTTCCTGGATGGTGTGTAGGCTGTTTGTCAACATGTGAATCTCACGTGCATTTCAGGGTAGGTAAGTTTACTGTCAATTTTCTTTCTTAAAAGCCGCATAAGGCATATTTTTTCTTACTCAAATTTTTGTTTAAGCATTGATCTTTATTTACCCTTTCATGAATTTTCTGCTTCTAGTCTAATAAATTAAATAATTTAATTCAAGCTATATAGTAATATATAGTGAAATTATTTCCTTGTGTGAGACCTTAAGTATACCTATTGTAGGCCTTCAGCAAACACACATAATATTGTGCAGAGCTCAAGTCTGCAAGTATAATACCTGCTTATACATACCTTAGATTAAAAAAAAACACGGATAGCAAGGAACCATCAAAGTTACTTCAGCATTGGAGTATAATGCTGTCAAATAACAATGTAATAACAAGATTCACATATAACATCCGAAGTATGAAACTTAACAAGATAAATATCAACATGCATGAAACAGTCGAAGAAGGGTTCAGGGGGGGGGGTGACCTTATGAGCTTATGCTATACCGTCGGCATTAGCGTCAACGTCCAAGTCAAATTTTTAGGAGCAGGTCCATTGCACTTGCTTCAGATGCTGGATGTGACCTACATTTTCCAGATGAGTGACCAGGTTAAAGTTTTTGGAGCAGATCCATTCCCAAATAATTAAAAGCCCCACCTGGACCAAACTTTTATGGATGATGCATCTAGAGATGTACACTACCAGACTTGCTTCAGATGCTGGATGTGACGTACATTTTCCAAATGAGTGACCAGGTTAAAGTTTTTGGAGCAGGTCTTGCTTACAAATGGAAATATCGGCAATTTTTTAAGATGAAAAATACATACTTTATTAGGATGGGCGATTCTTTTTAGTAATTCACTGATATAAAAAAAATGTAATGTGGTTTAAATCTACATGTTGGGTACATTTAGATTTTTTATTTAGACTTGTCATGTGATGTCGACGTCACATGACTTTGGCAATTATACTTAGAGTTTTTGCATCTATTAATTTCAATATTGCAAGGGCATAATCAAGTTAAAAATCTTTGTTTATTTTATAATCCTTTCCAACACTCTATGTAGTTTGTGAAAAGTGCTGCGAACCTATATAGATTCCCTAATTGGTAAAATTTTATTTGTTGGACGGCAGGTTGAATATTTTGCTGGTCAACTACATTAAATATAGCTATAATTAATTTATTTGCAAGATTTCAAGAGGTTCGCATTTTCAAATATCTTAATGCTTATTGAGTTTATGTGTAAAATTTTGACAAGATACATTGAGGGTATGCCCTTGCAATAAATCAATCAATTACTTTTTCAATGAATCTGCATACATACACACGACAGTATCGCTTGTCTGAGAATGCACGTACATTTTAAATAAAATACTAAAATAGACATCACATCCAAGTTAACAGCTTTTTATTTTACTGCAAATAATATTTTATTTGTTTTTCATTGTACAAAATGTGACTTGATCAGGTGTGCAAACTGTTTTTTACGGATGACACATTGATGCATTGCGATCGATGCAATATACTTTGTGTGGGAAACAAACGACAAAACTATGTAATTTAAAATTTGTTCAGAACTTCCAGCTGTTTGAATAGCAAATAATTTCATTTTATGGTATTTTGAAGACTTTATATTATATGTGACGTCAAAACATTTTTTTCCTTACTGTAACCTTAACTGTGCTGCGTAGCCCTTCCTGGACCAAACTTGCATGGATGATGCATCTAGGGATGAACAATACCAGACTTGCTTCAGATACTGGATGTGGCCTACATTTTCCAGATGAGTGACCAGGTTAAAGTTTTTGCAGCAAGTCCATCCTAATTAACTATAAGCCTTACCTAGACCAAACTTGCATGGATGATGCATCTAAGGATGAACAATCAATACTTGTTTCAGTTGCTGGACCCTACATTTTCCATGTTAAGGTTAAAGTTTTTGGAACTAAGTTTTTAAGACCTATTTAAATAGAAAAATTGTTGCAAGAAAATATATTTTTTGCATTACTTAGACTGATTATATTCGCCAAGGTGAGCTTCGTAATCTTTTATTACCTAATATGTTAACATTCTAAGTTTCTAAAAGAAAAATCAGTATATTTTTTAGACTTGTTTCTGTGTATTTTTTAAAAAAATAATGTCTATATCAAGTATCTCATGTATGTACTTGTTTATATTTTTATACCCTGAAGGTGAGGGGTATACTGTTTTACCCTTGTGTGTCTGTCTGTCTGTCTAGCTGTCTGTGTGTACGTGAAACACATTTTCGTCACAGTTTTCGCAGCAACTACTCAATGTAGATGCTTGAAATTTTAACACATTCTTCTCTTAGGCATGCCATATGGCAGGATACATTTTTGCTCAAATGCGATGTCAACTTTCTGTTTGTGCATCTGTCCGTTTCATACATAACAAATTTTCGCCACAATTTCGTCAGCAACTACTCATTGTTGATGCTTCAAATTTTAAGACAATCTTCTCTGTGGCATGCCATATGGTGGGATACATGTACATTTTTGTTTAAATCCGATGTCAACTTCCTATTGGTCTGTGCATCTGTCCGTTTCATACATTACAAATTTTCGTCACAGTTTCGTCAGCAACTACTCAATGTAGATGCTTGAAATTTTAACACATTCTTCTCTTAGCCATGCCATATGGTGAGATACATTTTTGCTCAAATGCAATGTCAACTTTCTGTTTGTCTGTGCATCTGTCTGTTTCATACATTACAAATTTTCGTCACAGTTTTCTCAGCAACTACTCATCATAGATGCTTGAAATTTTAACACAATCTTCTCTGAGGCATGCCATATGATGGAATACATTTTTGTTTAAATCCGATATCAACTTCCTGTTTGTCTGTGCATTGTCCATTTCATACATGACAAATCTTCGTAGCAGTTTTCTCATTAGCTTTTCATAGCAGATGCTTGAAATTTTATTACCGTCTTTGTTGATGCATGCCATATGGTGGGATTAATTTTCATATGAATCTGATGTCAACTTCATCTGCCTGTAATTGAACTTGTGTAAACAGTTTATTAACATGATCATAGTGCTTTTTTACATGAGAGCGGGGGTATTACTAGTGAGCATTGGCTCACAGATTTCTGTTTGCTATTTGTCATGAGTTCTTTTTGGATTTTGTAGAGTTGAGAAGGAAAAACAACATAAATCAGAAATAACAAATAAGTTTATTAACACAAATAAAAAAAAATATATTCATTGACAATTACTCTCACTCACGCTCACATACCAGCTCACACACGGGAAATGAAAATAGATATGAACAGTTAACTCAGCTTAAACCACTTCTGATACTTTACATAATAATAAACTTGAATATTACTTGCTACAATGCTGAGTTAATAATTAAAAATCAGATTTTAAATCAAAAAGCTAAAATTCACCAACTTAATTCAGTCTTTTCAATTAACATTTCGAAAAAGCTCAATTAACTTAAAAAAAAATAATATCTTTTCAAAAATTCAAATGTAAACATGTTCTGTTATTTACTACTGAAAGTTACTCAAAATTCTGGTTCACAAAACAGGTCAGCGACACGTGTCCCTAGAAAATGCACCACAGCACTCACGCCATACAGATAACGTCAACGTCACACCAAGTTCTGTGGTCTACAAAGTGGTCTACAAAATAGTAGTTCCTAACTCGCAGAGCCCCGGTTCTTAGCCTCCCGCTCCAGTTATCCTACCACGCCCTTAACAGTGTCGACCTTGGATAAGACACAAGTGGCCCTCCATACACACTTGTCAATAAGCCTCCAACCTCGTCAAACGACCCTCAGTATGCCCATACATCAAAAAATTGTCTCCAAGCCCCTTGCGCACTGAAAGTAATTTATATTTACAAACACCTAACCTAAAATACAACTGAAACCGGAAATTTATAACTGCAAACTCACTATTCATAATATTCGAACACTCTTACTGGCTAGAACTGCACAAACATGCTGCAATAATCCTCCTGGCAAGTTATATGGCTACCCGTTAACATTACAGTGCTATATCTCACTGAAAATATTTGCCACTTGTATAAATCATTCAGGGGAAAACAGCAAACGAGGCACACCTCAGGCTGGTCACGCTACTGGACACCAGACTAGATCTGACCACCCCGACAAAACCGGTCCCTTTATATACTCGTGGCAAAACAGACTCAAATGTATGGAACCCCATTCGAACAAAATTAAAATAATATATACAACAAAAAATCAACTTCTTCACACTATTATATTACAAGAAATGTTGTTTGGTTTTTTTTTTAGTTAAAAGAGAAAGCTGAGGCTCAAGAAAAAGAAAGACTGAAAGAAGAAGCTTGAAAGGTGAGCACTCTCTATCTGAACATCAATCTCAGTGTCTGGAAATCTCAGATATCTGGAAACCTGAGATATCTCAAAATCGCAGATATCTCAAAAATAGCTTTTGGTGCCATTGAGTTGCTTCTTTTGATTTCAGTATAATGGTGCATCCAGAGAATTGACAATAATGTTTACAAAATCTCATTTGACTGTAATTTTTTTGCTATAAATTTTGGAAAGATGCAAATTTAGAGATTTATCCAAAAAAAAAAATATATAGAGAAGTATTAGCAATTTTATAATGTCAAGAGAGATTGCCATAGCAACCTATATAGACTGAATTCTTATGGATATTCAATTTTAGCCATCTCAGAACCCATGCTGATAATGCCAAAATTGATTTCTCACAGAATTCTGCTTATACAGTAAAACGCTGGCATAATGAGATATAATTTGGATTGAAGAATTCAAAGAGAAGTTCCATCATTTAACCTTTATAAAGGTTACAAAGGGGACCCTATATTTTTTTCAGTATATTTTGTAAGTGCAAAGAACAAAGTTTCCAATGATACCAAGGATTTGTCTGAAATTACAATAGGTAAGTAGAGGGCCTAAGATTTGTATTGAGTTCTATGGGAAATGAATTGGTACTATTTTCCCTATAGAGAACCCCATTTTGAAATGTCATGTGACTTTAAAGACACAAATTGTTACTTTAGCTATCCTAGTCAGAGAGTTTTAGTAAACTAAGAATAATGCAAGATATTTTTGAGATCCTGGGGGAGAAATTAGCCTCAAAAAGTGAAAATGTGGGGGGTTGCAGGCTTTGGACAGGGGGGAGGGATAGAAATGGGTATGGGAAGATGAGGGTAAATTGGCCGGAGGAGGGCAGTACAGTCGAGAGGGTGCATCGGGTAGCTCTTATGGTAGAGAAGAGACAGACTAGGTCGCAGTTTGCAGTTGCAGGCCTGGAGGTCAGTCATCTCTACCATAAGAAGTTATGCATCAACCTGATGCACCTTTCTCTTGAGCCGCATGGAACTAACCAGGAGAAGATCCACTGCAAGGACCAGGGGTTTTGTTGTGGGGCTCACCACCCTAGATGCATTTTTTAAAGTAATTTAAAATATATTTTTTTTAAATATTAACTTGTTAATTTCCTGTTTTCGAATAATTGTGTTCAGGGGGCTTTCTTTTATTACCTCGGGCTCGAGATTCAGCTAACATCATGTTTTTCTTGTATTTTACTTCTTCTTGATGTTTTTCGTAAAGTTTATATAATTTCTTACGTTTAATTACCCTTTTTGTTTTATACGATTGAGTTTTCTGAGGCGATTTATTTAATCTATGCTCATTTTGTATTTCATTCAGAGTTTGGTCCACTTGGCCACCAGTTGGCTTCGGAGCGAGCTGCCCGGACCGTGATTTGATGAGTGAACTGCACTGTGCGCCCGACCAGCAAAGTTTCTTGTGAAAGTAACATTTCGAGGCAGGGATCGCCGCGGAGTTCTGTTGAAGCTTTCGACCTTTTGCGAGTTGGTGTTTTTGATCGTCCTGTCCAGTACAGCTGGAGACAACCTCTTAGAGATGCAGGCATGGAGCCTTGCCTCATTTTCCGCGGAAGACGGTATTGTAAAACCTTGACCTAAATAAGAACTCTTGCTAACCCAGTTATTTTTTACTTTCCCTTTGCACACCAGAGAGTGTTTTCTGCATGATGCATGATCTCCCATGTAACATTTCACTATTGCATGTTTGGCATATGAGAGCTTGTTTTTTAATTTATCTGCATCTCCAGCATATACTGCATGAGCTTGATTAATCTCAGCTGTACATCTGTCAACAGCATCTAGGGCAAAATTATGCAAAAGTTTGGTTTTTTCTGCTTTAGTTCTCTTTGGCATGACCTCTAAAAGTTTCTGATCTTTTTTAATTGCCTTTCTGATTGACTCGGACAAGTGTCGAGTGTCAATATAGTGAACTGGGATATTTTGTAGTAGACCGTCCTTATAGAGGGAATCTGCAGCTCGACCGGCAGAGCTGTCCGGGTCAGTGGTTACCTCCCTTACCTCAAGCCCATCTTTGCAGAGGAGTTCCGCCATTCCCTCCCAAGTGAACTCATCCCCGGTATGGTGCATTGGTAGATTTGCCCCACACACCCCAGGACTGCAGTGGTGATTAGCAGTACCCTCATCCAGTAAGTGTCCATGCTTTGAACAAATTTTATTTTTAGTAACCATTTTAATTATCTTATGTTTTGAAGTAACATTTTCAGCGAATGAGTACACAGTCTGTGTCGCCGGCTGGAAGGGTGTCTCACCAACCCCCGAGTACAGGGGGTTATTGTAAATGCCATCGCACTGTACGGGGATGGCATGTGGGGAGTCACTTCCCCTTAGAGTGTTGACATCCACCAGCTGGCGACACCGGTTACTCACGTCAGCCTCATTAAGGTTTTCAATAATTGGCATAATTTTGTTTGATGTCTTTTGTAGAGACTTTCGCGTAGGAGGGGGAGTGTTGGTAGAAGAAAGAATTTTCCTCATCCCATCATTGCCTATAGGGGTTTGACTGAGGCCAACTTGAAGCCCATAGTTAACAGTGGCAGCTTTCCTACCCCGGGATTTGGTCTCTACCTCCTCATACAGATTGTACCGCCTTGATACATATAGACACTTAGTACATCGAAGGCCCATCCGGCTTCCCAGACAACGCCTCTCTTCTGATGCCAGATCCCAATCAAGCGGTCCATCGCACCTCGGACTCCCTTGCTGGTGGAGAGAAATCACCTCATTCCACATCTCGGCTGTTTTCCCATGGTGTAGCAGTCGATGGGAATTTTGATTGGCCAATCTAGGTAAATATACCATTTTTCATTTGTTTGAGACAGATGACAGTACATGTATACAGTGCATGAGAGCACATATTAGAGTTACTTCCCTTAGACAATCTAACAAGACATAGGAAAGAACGAGTAACATCATATTACTTTAAAATGTGAAAAAATAAACAATCAAATTTCTTTTCATCTCAAATCATTAATTGATATCTAAACTATACGATTCAACAAATTTTACCGCTGAAATCATCGAATATACAAAGAACAAAACTATACAATGTGGTAGGGGTCAGCCGACATCGGCGATTTTCTATAGTAAATGGAGAACGGTGATTCATTTCAAAGCCTTTGTTTACTATGAGCCTAACGTTGTGCAAACTTGTGCGAATGACAAAAGACGCATATTACATTTATAAAACTTGTGTGAAAGTATGAAATTTGCACACGATTAGGCTCGTACTTAAAATATTAAAAATGTATAAAAAGTACAATGTTTTTCCTATAGCAAGTGAGAGCTATTTACCTGTATGACCCATGTTGAACCCAAGTGTGGAATAAATTATCGAAAATACTGATAGTCACGTGAGTTCTACCCAGGAAAACATTCCTAAAAAGTTCTCACTGTAATACATAGGCAGGTTTTGTTTCAGTAAGTCAAAGTCGTGCCGCTTAGAGATGTTTTTATGTATTTGTTTTTAAGAACACGGGAGGGAAAGGAGATTTAAGTGTCGTTCATAAAGTGTCAAACATTTTTAACCTTAATGCAAGACGATGAAACAGGTATTGAAAACCACCTATAACACTCCTTTTTAATTTCAAATTCAATGAAACTATTATTGTAATTTTTCAAATGCAAGAGTACCAATTTCTTAGTTTAATCATTTTAGATACAGGCAACTACACAACTTCATTCCATATTTTTAAAAACAGGTTTGTCGTAAGAAATATCATTCCGCAAACGCGCCCGACTGTGATCCACCATCAGATTGTTCAAGTATCGATTTAAATATCTATTCCCTTGATTTACATAAAGGAAACTAAAAGAAGGTTCGGTACGACTTTTCCGGATTTATAGGGTATCCATAGGCCTTTCAAAATATTCAATTGTTTCAAATCCATGCTAATTTAAGTGGCGCTTTACATGCTTTTTGATTAGAAATATCTACTAGTATCTAACTATTACCAATAGAGAACGATTTGGTAATATATTCTGAAGTAAAATGGCACATAAAAAGGGCCCATTTAGTATTGCTTAAGTGCACTTGTCCTTTTAACATCATATTACTTTAATTCTTTGAAACGAATGCTTCTGATTTCTTTTCTTATGTACCTATATGACTTTCAACTGCATGTATTACATTTTACTTTGCATGTATTTACATGTATTTACATGTAATAGTATGTAATATGTATCCCACCCTAGTAAGGTCAAATTTTCCCATATTTAGTCAGGCCAAAATAAAAAATACTCTTGTTTCCTGTCACCCGACCTACCCTACATTTTACCCTCCGACCCTAAAAGTTTTTATCACATTTTCATTTTTTGGGTGACTATTTTCCTGAAATACTAAAGTCGACCAACAATATTATGAGAAAGTATAGAAAAGCAGAACTAATGCATCACAAGTGTACAGGATAACTTTACTTTATAAATCTTGTAAACAAACTTGCTCTGTAAACTGTTAACAAATCATTCTCTTGTTATTACATGCTATATCATGTATATGTTCTGCATTCATTGAGTTTTGGAAATAAAATTTTTTCTCAAAATAAAATTTTTTCCGTACCTACCTACCCTAATTTTTAGCTCACCTCGACGAAGTCGAGATGAGCTTATGCTATACCCCCGGCATTGGCGTCGGCGTCGGTGTCGGCATTAGCATCGGCGTCCCAGGTTAAAGTTTTAGGAGCAAGTCCATTCCCAAGTAACTATAAGCCCTACCTGAACCAAACTTGCATGGATGATGCATCTAGGGATGTACACTACCAGACTTGCTTTGGATGTTGGATCTGACCTACATTTTCTAGATGAGTGACCAGGTTAAAGTTTTTAGAGCAGGTTAAAGTTTTTGGAGCAGGTCCATTCCTAAGTAACTATAAGCCCTAGCTAAACCAAACTTGCTTGGATGATGCATTTAGGGATGTACACTACCAGACTTGCTTCGGATGCTGGATCTGACCTACATTTTCCAGATGAGTGACCAGGTTAAAGTTTTTGGAGCAGGTCCATTCCACAGGAATTATAAGCCCTATTTTGACCAAACTTGCTTGGATGATGCATCTAGAGATGGACACTACCAGAATTGCTTAGGATGCTGGATCTCACCTACATTTTCATTCCCAAGTAACTATAAGCCCTACCTGAACCAAACTTGCATGGATGATGTATCTAGGGATGGACACTACCAGACTTGCTTCGGATGCTGAATCTGACCTACATTTTCATTCCCAAGTAACTATAAGCCCTAGCTAAACCAAACTTGCATGGATGATGTATCTAGAGATGGACACTACCAGACTTGCTTCGGATGCTGAATCTGACCTACATTTTCATTCCTAAGTAACTATAAGCCCTAGCTAAACCAAACTTGCATGGATGATGTATCTAGGGATGGACACTACCAGACTTGCTTCGGATACTGGATCTGACCTACATTTTCATTCCTAAGTAACTATAAGCCCTAGCTTAACCAAACTTGCATGGATGATGTATCTAGGGATGGACACTACCAGACTTGCTTCGGATGCTGGATCTGACCTACATTTTCATTCCTAAGTAACTATAAGCCCTAGCTAAACCAAACTTGCATGGATATTGAATCTAGGGATGGACACTACCAGACTTGCTTCTGATGCTGAATCTGACCTACATTTTCATTCCTAAGTAACTATAAGCCCTAGCTAAACCAAACTTGCATGGATGATGTATCTAGGGATGGACACTACCAGACTTGCTTCGGATGCTGAATCTGACCTACATTTTCATTCCTAAGTAACTATAAGCCCTAGCTAAACCAAACTTGCAGGGATGATGCAGCTAAGGATGGACACTATCAGACTTGCTTCAGATGCTGGATCTGACCTATATTTTCCATACAAGAGGCCAGGTTAAAGTTTTGGATGAATTTGAAGTCCTTGATATCTGCAGTATTAACAGTTATGAATATTTATTTACACTATACATGTTTTTCACGCTACACGCGTAGAAATGTGTATATGCCATGTAAGGGGTTAAACACAACTTGCAAGAATATTGTTGTTGGGATGAATACTAAATATTAAGAAAATATGATGTGAGATTTGCATTACTTAAACTGATAACATTCGTCGAGATGAGCTTCGTAATCTTTGATTACCTATGTTTTTGGTCAGGGGACAGGAAACAAGAGTATTTTTTCTTTTGGCCTCATGTAAAAGGTAAGCAAGACTTGATTTGTTAGAATTTTTATGAACTATTGCTCAATTATAAATGTTTTATACAAAATTTTACTTACTGTTCTGATTCATTTGTATTTAGGCACTTTGGATGGCTTTCAACTTTCAGTCTCCTCAGCCTAAGGAGATGGTGGCACATGGGCTGCACGAGCATTTCCTGTCCTTCCGCAGCTATAGGAGTTTCCGAAACCATCTGATGCAATTGCTGGGACAGTCTGTTGTACCGTGCAGGTAAAATTTTCACATCATTAATTTTCATTCTCTTATTATGGGGCACATTTTGAGGTTTGAAACCATAGTTATGACCCTTTTTGAACTTTGGCATGGTTTTAATTCTCCTTGTTTAAACTTCAAATTCCCAAAAAAATGATAAATGGTCAGTGCTGTTTAAGGCTTCAGAGACTGAACTGTTATGTGTTATCAAAATTTGGGGTTTTCTCTAGCCTATGTTAATTATAAACAAAGAAGATGGGGGGCACCTGCTATATCTCCAAATTACATTAGATAGAGGGGAGGTGAAACTTTTCGCACATACTTAATCAGCAGGAAGGACCAGATAAGGATCATGTAGTATACTAGAAACATTAATGAATAACTCTTCATTATCATCAAAAAGTTTTGCTAATTAGTCTATTTGAAATCTTGAAATTTTGACTTATTTGCTAGATTTGCATTAAATTCTGCAGCTATTTTCAAATTCTGGGTGGAATCCACCCTTATGAAAAAATTGACTCATTTGTGATATTTTCTCATTTTATTTTCAATAAACAGCAGAATCATGGCAATTTATCAATATTTTATTCATTACAGTCACCCATAAATCCAAATATGATCACAAGTCTGAAAGTCATTCACTCAGTCTAACACGGTTGGCCGCAGTAGGGTGTCATCAGTTCAGAAGGTCACAGTATCCAAGACGCTGAGGTTGCAGGACTCAAATTTCATTCATGTACTCGGGTAAGTGTAAAGTCTTTAAAAATTACTAAATTGACTAATTCCAAGGTAGGTAACAATATGAGTATAGGAATGAGAGTACCATATCCCAGGACGTGCACATGGCTTTATTTGTGGCACAATGTAGATTCAAGGATTAAATAGGTAGGCGTTATCTGATTGGCTGAATTCAGGTACTAAGTAATTAACTTAATATTGTAAAAATATTAATGTTTAAAATAAATGATGGAATGAGGAAATATTATAGAAAGTATAGAAAAGCCAGGGGAAGTTTTAGGAGTGGGGGTTGAAATTACACCACCCTACCCTTAGGGTCAAATACTGGAATTCTTTGCACTTTTCTGTTTTATTTTTAAGGAAGATACCATAACTTAGCATTTTAATTTTTAGAGAAAAAGAAAATCTTAAAACTTTAGATTGAAACTTAAGGCAGATAACAAAAATAATGAAATGCAGAATGTTGACAGATTTTGAGATGTGACGTTAACACTGAGATTTTGAGATGTGACAGTTAACACTGACATTTTGAGATGTGACAGTTAACACTGAGATTTTGAGATATGACATTTTGAGATGTGACAGTTAACACTGAGATTTTGAGATATGACATTTTGAGATGTGACAGTTAACACTGAGATTTTGAGATATGACATTTTGAGATGTGACAGTTAACACTGAGATTTTGAGATGTGACAGTTAACACTGAGATTTTGAGATGTGATAGTTAACACTGCGTTTTTGGTTTCAGATTAAAGACAAGCTTGAGAGAGAGTTGGTGTTTGAGGCGATCACGCTGGAGTCGGAGCGGATCCTACTTTTTAAGGAGTACCAGGCCTTGCTGGAGGACACCTGTAGTCACCACCACGCCAAGAGAAAGAAACGCAAACAGAAACATAAACGATCCCGATCCAGATCTGTAAGTAATCACACTGTGTTAGATCTAAGATCAGTAAGTAATCACACTGTGTTAGATCCAGATCTGTAAGTAATCACACTGTGTTAGATCCAGATCTGTAAGTAATCACACTGTGTTAGATCTAAGATCAGTAAGTAATCACATTGTGTTAGATCCAGATAAACACAAACACAAATGATCACGATCTGTATGTACCCTCACTAATAACTAGTTAACTTGACAGACAACTGATTACTTAAAAGATAACTTATTGATAACTTGATCATCAGACAAACAGTACTCTTGGAAATAACTACCGGTAAGTCTAAAATAGATACAGTATGATCCTAAAAAATTAATTGATCAGAGAGACATACACTGTATTTCTTTGACCCTCTAAGTCATAAGTTAGTACGATCTCGTATAAAGCTGACTAGAATTCCCATTGATACCATGGTATAACTTCCTTACATAAAATATTCCTTTCTCCTCCATGGCACTTTTATGGACCTTGATATTGAATACTGTTCTTTATCTACATAATCTTATTCTAGCAGGTAGATAAATTATAGTAGAACTGCCATTGACAATGTACGATTGGATTACTTTCAGACAGTACAGTGTTGGTTTTGAGGTGATGTGTGTGTCCGAAAATGTGCCCGGGGCACCAGGCCAATTCAAGAGAACCAGTTCAGGAGATTACAGGTAAACTTACCAAGACCAAGCCAAGCTTAAAGCAATATGAGCTGCATGTTTGACATCGGAAAAAAAATGTTGCAAATATGTAATTAACTATTTCAATGACAGAAAAATAGAACATTTATAAACTTCTGTTGTTCATATTTGCTATGAAAGAACTTTTTATACGCATTGATTGAAGCAACATTGAATTATTGTCGTCCTGTACAATAATGATTTCTTATATAATACTGTATATTCAGCTGTACAGAAATATTTCTTCCAAAACATTTTAAAACTTTATTTTGGTTTTATTGATCACAAGGGCTTACATTACTTACAAATTAATCATAATAACACATTTTACCAGCAAAATAAAATTCTCAAAAATGCAGCTCATATTGCTTTAAGATAATTCAAGTAAATGTGACAAAATAAACCTCTCAAGAAACAGCCCACTGGCTTACTGGAGGGGTAGTAAGATTGATCCGTCATGTATGTGATAACATATTTTCTGTAGAAGGAATAGTCATGAACTTTTTCAGCATAGTTTGATTGGGCTGTATGAAATCTTTTGTATACTCTGTGAAAATAGTTTGGGTTTGATACCATTAAGAAATTGGTTCATTAAATGGGAAGGTCATAATCATGTTTTAAAAATATCATCATTGTAAGCCATAATATTCTGAGGTCAGCTCACAGCATATGGCTTTCTGATGATGTTATACAATCTCTGTTTACAGGAAAGGTTACTGTATTATACAGTTTGAGAGAATCTCTGGAGGGATCTATGATAATGTTATACAATCTTGGGAGGGATCTATGATAATGTTATACAATCTTGGGAGGGATCTATGATAATGTTATACAATCTTGGGAGGGATCTATGATAATGTTATACAATCTTGGGAGGGATCTATGATAATGTTTTACAATCTTGGGAGGGATCTATGATAATGTTATACAATCTCTGGAGGGATCTATGATAATGTTATACAATCTCAGGAGGGATCTATGATAATGTTATACAATCTCAGGAGGGATCTATGATAATGTTATACAATCTCTGGAGGGATCTATGATATTGTTATACAATCTCTGGAGGGATCTATGATATTGTTATACAATCTCTAGAGGGATCTATGATATTGTTATACAATCTCTGGAGGGATCTATGATATTGTTATACAATCTCTGGAGGGATTTATGTTAATGTTATACAATCTTGGGAGGGATCTATGATAATGTTATACAATCTTGGGAGGGATCTATGATAATGTTATACAATCTTGGGAGGGATCTATGATAATGTTATACAATCTTGGGAGGGATCTATGATAATGTTTTACAATCTTGGGAGGGATCTATGATAATGTTATACAATCTCTGGAGGGATCTATGATAATGTTATACAATTTCTGTTGACAGGAATGGTTACTGTGTTCTACAGTTAGACAGAATCTCTGGAGGGATCTATAACATCATGCCCAGTACCTTCCTACCCGGCCAGGAGGGACCGTTCTTCTTAGACATCAGCAGCTCTAGCCCTGTAACAGTAGCACAGATATAGTAGAACCAATGTGAGAAAATAGGATGGGGGACATCAGCAGCTCTAGTCCTTTAACTGTCACCCAGATACAGTAGAACCAACATTAATGGAGGGACATCAGCAGCTCTAGTCCTTTAACTGTTGCACACATACAGTAGAACTAATGTGAGAAAAAGAGATGGGGGATATCTAGTTGAACAAGTGTGAATTTGTACTTTATAAAATGGATGGATATCAATAGCCTCCAACTCAGAGGACTCTTGTCATTGTGTGTTATATTTAGTAGATACACTGTACGGTAGAACTAATGTGAATGAGCAGGCTGTATTCAGCAGTCTTCATGACATGGGGGAAACTAGGATTTCAGTTATGCATCATTTGTTGTCCCCCGCTTTCGTGAAAGTAAGGGGACATTAAATCTCATTCGTCTGTCCGTCAGTCTGTCCGTCCGTCACAAAAACTTTAACCTTGCCCATAACTTTTGATTTAGTGGAGCTATGATTTTCATATTTCACAAGTGTATTCTTTGTGACAAGACCTTTCTTTGGGTACCACAAAAATTTGACCTTTTGACCTTGACCTTGGAGTTTGATCAACTTTTACTAAAAAATTCCAAACTTTAACTTTTGAATGTTAGGTACATTGTACTAGGACTTTCATATTTCACATAATTATTCTTTGTGACAAGACCTTTCATTGGATATCAACAACTTTGACCTTTTGACCTTGACCTTGGAAATTTACGTACTTATGAAAAAACTATAACCTTGACCATAATTTTTGAACGGTAAGGGCTATGATTTTTATACTTGACATATATTATTCTTGTTTGTTATCAGTTTGCCTGAAACAGAGAGAGAGCAATATATGTGTTGACTCTTTTATACATGTATAAGTGATTAGTGGATAGGGTTGGAATTAAATTGTACATGAGGTACACTCCTATTTAAAATTTGATGTTTGTGGTGGATAAACAGGGTTTTTGTTACAAACCTAAATATTCCTCTTTACAGTTTCCTTTGTGTTATCAACATATTGTACAGCAGTACAGCTGTACTAATGTTATTTTGATCTCTTAAATAAATAGTGATAAATATTAAATTGTACATTGTATTTATTTTTTCAATAATAAATGTTGTAAGAAGTTTTACAGTTTATCATCACTACTTCTGCTTGAGAAATCCAAAATGGTGAAATAGTGTAAGGTTTTGAGGAAAAATTATGCTTTGTAAGTGTCACCTGGTGCACAGGTGCATGAAAGTCGGTAATTATATATATTGGGTCTCAATAGCACAGTGGTTAGAGCACTTTTACGGTACGCCAGAGACCCTGGGTTTGAATCTTAGTTGAGGCATGACTTGTCACCACCTGTGACATTTGGCGCCAAATGAAAAAACCCACTCTTCCCTTGGAATATGCTTCACGCATTTCCTTAACTCATAGAATTCGAGGACGAAAAGAAAAAATAAAATTGATGTATAGAATTATTCCCATGTATGTGTTCTTTACGTTCACTCACAGGAGTCTGAAGTTTTTATCGTCAAAAAAAAAAAAAAAATCCGGAAAAAAATTTTCCTACCCTTAACTAAAAAAACCCCAGGATGGCAACGTGTTTTGGGGGGACCCACCTAAACAAAAAGATCTGGGCTTGGTCGGAAAAATCTCGCAACTAATTCAGTATCTGGAGTGTTTGTGCTATTTATTCAAGTTAAGAAATCAAATCTGCTTGACGACTACGGGCTGTTCATGGCCTTTTTTCCAGTTTGACAGCTCATCCTGGACGCCATGCCACTAAACCGGAAGTGAACTCCGAGGTGAATAAATGACTAATTGAAGAAAAAGAACCAAAAAAATGCATGTAAAACTTCATGTACAATTTTATGTTACCATACGTGATCAATGAAAAGATATATTTTTCAAACAAAATAATGCTTTATAATGGCGCTTAGTCTAACTGTTTGGCTCTTTGTCGACATGGCTTTTCAGTGATTTAAATTTGGCGCTTGTAAAAACTGAATTATCTGTCCCTGGTACACATCGTTGTACAAGTAAGAAAAAGAATATTTTTTTAAAGTTCTGTTAAATATATTTAAAATAACTGAATAAAATTACGTTGAACAATTATTTATTTTATTTCATTTGAACAAGTTTTTATAAACGTCACAATATACACTGCGAGATTCTCTTCCGGTTTAGTGGCATGGAGTCCAGGATGAGCTGTCAAAGTGGAAAAAGGGCTAGGAACGGCCCGTAGTCGTCAAGCAGATTGAATTTTTCACATTGAATAAATAACAAAAACGCTCCGGAAACTGAATTAGTCGCGAGATTTTTCTGGCCAAGCCCAGATCTATTTGTTTAGGTGGGTCCCCCCAAAACACGTTGCCATCCTGGGGTTTTTTTAGTTAAGGGTAGGAAAAATTTTTTCCCGATTTTTTTTTTTTTTTTTTTTTTTGACGATAAAAACTTCAGACTCCTGTGGTTCACTCTCTCTGTATGTTTTTTTTCTTTTTGTTATTATCATGTTTGTTGTATAACTCTGATGGGCCAGTTGGCTTAAAGAAATAAATAAACTGAAACTGAATCTAATTCTATCGCTACTTCTATATCAAAATCTCACTAATTATTTAATTATTCCGTTTATATTCTCTATTGACTCCTCTTTCTCCACTTGACTCCCCTCGATCCATTTATCTTAGTCTAGACGTAATTAATCACTAACACTCTCCTCCCACTGATTATAATCGCCTAACTTTCTCCTCCTTACTCAATTACCGCTAGCTCCCCATGACCTGTCCACAGTCTGGGTCAAACCTCCAATAAATCTATCTAAGTGACCAATGCAGTAGAATGCTACATTTAAACTAAATCTACAGAATAACATGAATAATCTAAAATAAAACAATAAAAGAAAAATAATATATCTATGCTACAATAGTGACATTTACTGAAAATCAAAACTTACATTTGGTACAGGACAATTAATTAACACCCATAACCACTGCTGACCAGTTTACAACAAGTCTGTCCAGTCTTTCCACTTAACCCCTAAAAATAACTGAAAATGTGTAGTCGCAGTATGTAATTACCATTCCAAGTTTCACAGGCTGCACTACATTTAAAAACTCTTAAGGAAACACGATATTGTGAGCTTTTAACTGATTGATAAGCAACTACTTTCCGACATAGGTTCTACCTTGCACAAATGAAAATGCACCAAAATGGCATGTATGTCTATGTAAAATTGTATCCACGAATACGTAGAGGATAAGGAGTAAAATGTTCATCGTAGGCGCCGGAAGCAAATTGAAAGTATAGAGGGGCTAGTTGAAAGGGGGCTAAACCAACAAAAAAGGTAAACAGTAATTTTCAATGCATAGAAAATGTCTATCTTTGAAAAAAAAAGAGCTACCCCCCCCCCCCTCCCCTGTTCCGACGCTTATGTTCATAAACATCAATACCCTAATCAAGAGTGATATTTAATTGATTAATTCAAAAGTAAAACTGGGGGAGTTCTGATTACCTTCCCAATAAATATGAGTGATAATTTTTGATTGCGGACTGTGATTACTGTCCTCTACAAAACATTAAATTTTTTAATTAAAATTTGTATAAGACAACAAATTTTAATTGAAAAATTCAAATTTTTGTAGAGGACAGTATTAAGACGATAGATAGGTAATTTTTAGGATGAGAAAGGAAAGCCTAAGACAGTTATTTTCCATAAAAATTGCCTTTTACTTCAATAAAAACAAGATTTGTTTGTGAAACACTGATGCCCCCGTATGGCAATATAGCGAAGGTTAAGCTTTCTCAAATGCAGATCAAATATGTTGGTACCTAAAGTAAGGCCCTTTTCACAAGAAATACAAATGTGAAATATAAAACACTAGCATCACCTATTCAAGGGTTATGACCATGGTTAACATTTTTAAAGTAGGACAGACTCTGGGGTCAAGGTCAAGGTCAAAGGGTAAAGGTTGTTGGATTCTAAAGAAAAGCCTTGTCTCACAGATTACATATGGCCCTAACCGTTCAAACGTTATGACCAAGCTAGGTTAAAGTTTGTAAAAAGAAGGTAAAACACCAAGGTCAAAGGTTCTTGATATCCAATGAAAGGTCTTGTCACATGGACTACACATTTGAAATATAAAAGCCCTAGCCATTACCGTTCACAAGTTATGACCAAGGTTAAAGTTTTTCGTAAGAACAAAAATCTCAAAGGTCAAGGTCAAAATTGATGTTGATTTCAAATGAAAGGTCTTGCCAATAAGAATTGATATTTTAAATATGAAATTAGGGTCAAGGTAAAAGTTTGGATGTTTTGTCTAAATGTGGGTAAAAATCAAAGGGTCAAGGTTCTCGGTATAAAATGAAAGTTCTTATCACAAGGAATACATTTGTGAAGTATGAAAGCCCTAGTCCTAACCCTTCAAAAATTATGGTCAAGGTTGTATTTTTAGAGTAGGTCAAACTCCAAGGTCAAAGGGTCAAGGTTCTTGGTATTCTATGAAGCATCTTTTCACAAGGATTATATATATTAAGTATGTTAGTCCTAGCATTTTCTATTTAAATGTTATAGCCAAAGTTAAAGTTTTTTCAAATGTACAAAAATATCCAAGGTCAAAAGTTCAAGGTTGTTGATATCAAATGAAAGGTCTTTCCACAAACAATATATATGTCAAGTATTAATGTCCTGGGGGTCGTAACATAAAGGCTACGTAAGTCTTAGACCGTGCTTAAGTAGGACTTAAGTACAATCTAAAACTTAAGACCGTAACTAGAAGCGGACTTAGATTTGGCAATCTTAGCAAAACTTAGCTATAGGCGGCCGGTAGAGGTGACTTAAGTATATCTTAACTTTCTTGTACATATATTTAGAATTATTTAAGGTTGAATTTCGATGTTTAAGTTTAAAGTTTCTTTTATTCATATAATGCATTAAAGAAAATAATTATCTATATTTGACGCTGATTTAAGAATTTTAAGTTTTCGTTGGGAGGGGGGTGGGGGTGAGGTGGGGTGATCACTGATCCCAATTTCACTCTAAGCACAGCATACATGTAAATGCCAAATTTGATTTTAGGGATACGTCTGAAATTAGTAGGACTTCGGTTAAAGAAATTTCCCGATTTTTGTTTTGTATCCTTGATTACAAGTATATCATTAAACTTCTGCTTTTTTTGATGCTGACATACATGGCATTATACATAACAGGGATTCAAAATGTATCAAACTTTTAAGAGTTTCAATTTCAAGTGAATAGGTAGTCGATTATCTTTTCTTGTCTGCGATAATAACGGTAAGTGAACATTTATCAAAACAAAAGAGTTACAAGAGGTAAACTGAAAACACCTCAGGTTATAAAACAATTGTCGTGAACATTTACAATGAACCACAATTCGCCACTTTCTGACCGTGCAGTATTTGTTTTCAAACATTCCGAATAGTTTATAACATAGTTATAATTTTAAAACGAAATCTAATCTAACATAACTTAAACCGACAGACAGACAGACAGACGGACACAACAAAAACAATATGCCCCCGAAACTTCGTTTACGGGGGCATAAAAAGTAATACGAAAGC